ATGAATCAGCCCATTTACAATTCTACTGTGCTTGAACGAGAAATGTCCCCCCTTTGGGAATGGCCTAAAGACACTACAGTCAGTGTCACTGCCCCGGGGGAAGACTTATTTATCGAGTCATAACACCCCTTTATGTTACAGGTGATTTTGTTGGAGTCAATCTTCCCACTGAAGTGCAGTGGTTCCAGTATTTTAGGGACATCTGCAGCAACTGGTAAATTAACAACCCATACCAGATAGGATGGACCTGGATAGTCGAAGAAATGGACGGAAGCGTCGTTGCAAAAAGAAAATACAACAGAGGCCACCAAGTTCCAGAGTGGTGGGTATTTGGAGGAATCTGCAGGGCAACAAGACAGTCTTTCATACTACTCGTACCTGACAGATCAGCTGCGACTCTGCTTCCAATAATGCAGGATAACATTGTCCCTGGTTCCATTATACACAGTGACGCGGGGGCAGCATACCATGGACAGGGATGCCACTCAACTTTTTTTGAAAATAGCTGAAAATCCGCGGGCCACGGTCCCGCCAATATATCAATATCAATTTGAAACCTAAAGGGTGTACATAGAGAACTATAGATTCTATCTTGATCTCAATAACGGAATAGCGGATCAGGATCAAAATAACGGAAATACCGGAAAAAAGCGGAAAAGTGGCATCCCTGCACGGGATTACGGCCTTGCCAGTAGACTCACCGTACCAGCATCAGGTGGTCGTGCGTGCACGTAACTTCGTCGATCCAGTTACGGGTGCATGCACGAACCACATTGAAAACTCGTGGAATCAGTGCTAGCGTCGGTTCAAACAGATGAACGGTACGGTATCAACGACCATAGATTCACACCTAGAGGAATTCATGTGGAGGGAATTGCAAGGGCAAACAAACAGGCATTGGACAACACACTTTTGCACCGGTCACAATGGTATCCCATTCCTTAAAGGAAAGATCTGCTAAATCTACCTTAAAATATTTACTTTTGGCCTGTTTATTTTTTGGGCCGTCAATTTTGAACATTTACCTGGCAATTCATGAGTTTCAAAATGGCTGCCCATGGGACGGGAAGGCAATTTCCAAAGAGCGCCGATTAGATGTGTCACAAGAGAGCAACAAACACACATAAAAAAAGGTCATATGTGCACCAGAAGATTAGAAGCGTTACAAGGGAGTAACAAACATAAAAAAGAAGGAGGTGAGATAAAGATGATAGATGTTTGATAGGAAAGAAGGAGCAAACCGCATCAGAGCACCCGCCAACCACCCACAGGAATGGGTTAACATTTGAAACAAACCCCTGAGAAAAACCCTGAGAAAGACAAGTGTTTCTCCAGCGGAGAAGAAAGACATGCAGACTTTTCTAAGGTGAAATGGTGTGGGTTTAACGCCCCTATCAACTCTATTAGGTTATTTAAGAGGCGGGGCCTCCTAGTTTAACGTCTGTCTACGAAACGACCGAGCCAAATGGGAAATTCGTGTAAAGTGTCTTTCACCAAGGACACAACGTCGGGCCGAGCCGAACCCACAATCTCACGACTACGAGTCTGGTAGCCTAACCACTAGGCTACCGATGCCACTGCAGACTTTTCTAGGCATTTGTATTGTATATATAATATATGTCTATTATCGACTTGCCCTTCAGGTGCTTGTACTGGTCACCTAGGACAAGGCAACAGACGGTTGCTAAAGCAATGACCGTCTACTCCTTTTTTTTTTACCCCAGTAATAATTTTACGCTCATTTTCAGCAATTTTCTTGTTACACAACTTAATCAACTTATATGGGGTACACATCATAACTTTGATATTTCTAGTGTTTCTACAACAGCAGTCAAGCCAGGGACGAACCAGTCCCTGAGCAGGACCAACCAGTCCCTGAGCACAAGAGGCACCAAACCTGTTTGTTGTGTGCACTTGGAACCGGGGCCGGGATTTCCAGAAAGATATTCATCAATTGCTTTTTTCAGGGGCAGCTGCACCGGACAATGTAGATGACCACTCTGTCCGACTGACTGGACAGCATTTATCCAGCGTGTTTCAGCCACAGCTTCTAAGACAAAGGCCCAGAAGAAGTGCAGAGTGTGTGCATCGAGAAATATTCGCAAGGACACCAGGTACTGTTGTCTCGACTGCCCTAGCAAACCTGGACTGTGCTTCGAGGGATGCTTCCGAAAATACCACTCGGAGCGCTTCTACTGGCTTGACCAGTAAGAGTGCTGTCTAGTGGAAAAAAGACTGTTGTAATTGTGTTGTAACTGTACTTTCCTTAGATATAATATAGTGTAATGTAAGACCTCTTCTGCTACCTCAAGCCACTTGGAGAATGTCCCTTTGGAGACATGGGCAGATGTAGGAGCACTGTTTCAGGTAGGAACATTTTTTAAAATCTCTTTCCACCTGTGAAATTTTTTTTCAGAATACATATACCTAAAAATGGTTTACACCAGTGGATTGTATGTTCATTTCTCTTTCATGTGATATATACTTTGATATATCTAGTGCTAATAGTAAGCGAGCTATAGCCATTCCAACAAGCAGACCGTGTCATACCCAGCCACAGTGGAAATTTCCTTAGCACACGGGGTGGACTTTTGGTTAGCAGTGAAGAGGTTAAGAAGAACTGTAAATGCTTCATTTATTCTAAGCATGTAACATCATATGTTTTTAGTCCTGCAGTGTAGCTCATAGCAAAAATGGAGCTGAAGAAACATGCTCATTACGAAAGGACTTTTAGGTCCCGAATTTTTGTGTGTGTACATATTCTTTGTAACTAACAAACGGACAAGGTATAACAAATGGATTCCCAGTGTCCTGATGACTTCACTATGAGCTTGCTGCACTACTATAGGTATGTTGAACTATTCCATTGTGGTATTGCTCAAAATGTTAACTAAAAACTTGTCCATATCCTCTCTTTTCGACCTCAGAACAAAATCGGCCAGCTGCAATCCTACTACACTAAGGCTGTGCGGACCCACAACACTTCAGTAGAGGTGATGTCTGGGGCAATCTGGGCGGCTAACCTCCACTCCACGTCACCAGACACGGACTATGACCATCACCAGTGCCCTTCTAGACCGGAGTCCTGGTGCTGGTTTCAGCGGGCTCGCCATGCCGGAGAAGTGGCCCCAGACCGCAAAGGCAAGCTGCCATCAACGTACCTGAACCCGAAGGTAGCCAGCTATGTGAAAGCTGTGTGTGAGCGGCTCATGAGCCCTGACTTGCTCAGCCTTCTTGGCAAAACTCAAAATGTGAATGAAACGCTTCACAGCGTTATCTGGGCCCGCTGTCACAAGCATAAACTTGCTGGACTAAAGCGTGTAGTGACAGTAACGCTCATGGCAGTTGGAGAGTATAATATGGGCTCCTTTGCAACCCATATGTTCCTAAATGCAATTGGGTGCAGAGTTGGGCTCTCAACAACGAAGATGGGGTTTCGGCGAGACTTGCTTCGAGGGGAAAAAGGCGGAGAAGGCACAGCTTGAGGTAGAGAAGAGACGACGTGAGTTGAGAAAGGCGGCAGCACAGAGGGCACAGGCAGAGGCTTAGGCACAAGAAGGAGGGCCCTCATATGTTTCTGGAGGCTTTTGAGAGGTGTAGGATAAATAAATTTGAAATTTTCAACCTTTTGTCACTTTTTCTATTTTATGTTGTATCCTATAACTAGCAATGTCTAATAAAAATGGATCAATATCCTGATTGGGTCTATTTATTCTAATAGAAAAGCAGATGCCGATTTCAAAATTGTCATATACATTCTTGTAGCATCAGTAGTTTTTGAAATATGACAATTTCAAATCGTTTTTTCTGTTTTTCTCAAAATCTGCTTTTTCACACATGTGACCTCCTGGGTGCAAGGAGTTTTAAAAAACTACTGAAGCTGGAAGCTTCAAATTTGGCACACAAGTGCCTTAAGATGCATTCTGGGGACCTATGTGAGGAAATTGGGAAATATTGCTTACTTCTGGAAATATTCCAATTTTTCTAAAGTAAACCCCAAATTTTCGGCAACCGACTGAGGGGGGGGAGGGGGGTCCATTGACTCTGGGCTGATTTTTTTATTTTTGAAGGTATGGCAAAATCCCCACATAGATCCCCAGTTTATATGAGTTTACACTTGTGTGCCAAATTTCAGGCTGAAATTCCAATATTTACTATGAAATTTTCTGCACTCGGAAACTGGTTTAAAAATCCAAGAAGGCCGCCACAGAGACCCATTTTTCAGAAAAATTCAACAAATTCACCCCGAGTACATCCTATTTACATATGAACTTCTTGCACAATTACATGAAAGTGGATAAAAGTCATTCGTTTAGAAAATTTTTCCGAGAGTGTACGTCTCCCCTTAAGTAAGAGTTTTTACGGCACTTGCAACACAATAAGGTCATATAAGTGCCGAATAATAGATGTGTCACATACACAAAAAAGAACGAGGAGAGATCAGGACGATAGATGTTTGATAGGAAAGTAGGAGCAAACCACATTAGACCACCCACCAATCACCCACTAACAAGCTCTGTCGTTTTGGCAAGGGGGGGGAGACATGGGCAGGTGCAAGTTGAGGATTTCACCGGTCTGGTCAGAATAACATAGGGGGGG